TATCCATTTTTAACAGAATCTGGTGGATTTTCTAGCTGGGGTTTATCGATTTTTTTCAGTCGTAACTACTGCTACTGACACTGGTTTGATTTGACACAGCCAAATTGCATTATTAGATATTTTTCACCAACACATTTATACACAAACATCAGAAAATGTTGTGATAGGCCCTGTATAAAATCAAAGAGTGGCTCATCACAGGTTTGTTTTTTGTTTTTTTAAAGATATTTTTTGGCTTTATTAGATAGGACAGAGAGAGAGAGAGACAGGAAAGTGCAGGAAGAAGAATGGGGGAAGGACCTGCAGCAAAGGGTCATGAGCAGGACTCTAACCCACGACCGCTGTAGCCCCTATACGTGGGACGCCAGCTCAACCAGGTGAGCTGTAGCGGCGGCCCTGTCACTGTTTTGAATAGATGAATAAATGGATCATTTTACTTATTTGGTACATGAAGTCGTCCCTGAGACACTTGCTGAAAGTCTAAACCAGGGGTGTCAAACTTAAATGTCAAATTTGGCCCGCGAGACAATACCAAATGACTACTAGAACTGCCCCCGGTATTATACTGTACAGCGCATTCACCGCTAATACTACAAATCCCATAATGCCCTGTTGTTGTTTTGGCGCATCAATCAGGACAGGACCCAGAAACTCCCTCTCCTCTGCGACAGTAGGCATAGCGACTTCACACTACAACTGTCACTGTGCCATTGATGTGTTTTTTTATTCATAATTTGATTTTGCATGTCTCCACTATTAAGTTATATATAATGTATGTTAATAAGTGTTGCTTGTTCCATATTCAATGTTAAAGCAAAATTTGTTTTGGTCCATATTAAAAGGTTCATTTGTTCAATGTTGGCCCACTGTGTTTTTGAGATCGACACCCCTGGTCTAAACCTTTTGACCTTCTCAAACCTGCCAGCATCAACAGACAATACCGTGATTAACTCTACATTAGTTTTCAAGCAATGTCCAGTGAGTCTACAGGTGTAAAGTTGTGTTACCTGTGGTATCCTGAACGGTATGTGTGGCTTGTGGAAGCCCACGCCCAAGAAGAAAGGCTGCTGACTGCCGGCTCGGCTCTTCAGCAGCCTCACCGCCTCGTCGGCGCTCTCCAGGTCGGGCAGGGTTCCTCCAGGCTGCTCCGTCACGTTCACAGCACACAGCAGGTTGACGTGAAGCTTCCCATCCTCTCCTTTACACATCTGGAAACAGCCGTTTTAATAGCCATTATTCAACGTCACGTTCACGCTCGGTTGACGTGGAAAGTTCTCAGCAAACAGTCTCGTATTTACACATCCACGAGACGCAAGGCATGTTTTGTATTTATTTTGTGTTTTTTGGGGATCTGCTGCGGCTTCTACCAACTCTTGAGGGAAATATCTTGTTATTTCGCGGCTAAATGCTGTTTGGTGCCGAGCAGGTAGCGCACAGTGGGCTTTTGCAGCGTTCTTGATGGAAACAGCTGCCTTTAAGTTTAACTTTAAGGTTGGTGAGAATGAACTAAAGCAGTAAATACACACATTAGACAGCAAAACAATGAGCTGCAACGCCCCGTAAAGCTCTAAAACAAAAGCAGATTTAGACGCCAACTCTAAGGTTGAACACTGTAAGTGACCTCTCTCGCACTTTTGCATTGTCAGATAGCAGTTCTTCTATTAGAAAACTGTGGTTACAGCAACTTTTACAAATCCACGAGTGTTTCCAGGTGATTTACATTCCAGCACATTAATGAAAAAGCAACATTGTGCTGAGGAATAATGGAGCGTTGTGTTCAGCTCGTCTCCGCCTGCCACAACACGACGGGTTCAGACTGACGAGATTCACAGAAGGCTTCTTTATTTACAGGCTTTTCTCCTCTGTTTGTCCATTTTTTTTAAACTAGTTATATAAGAAGATATTTTGTTATTTGGGTTCATGGATAAATCTTGTTCTGTTTATTCTTTTTAACGTAACAACGGGCTGGAGTTTCATTCACATGTTTAATGTTTGTATTGCAAAAATGGCTTCCTCTTTTCACAACTGACTTCCTTAATTTCTACTTCATATGACAAATGAAATCAAAGATGGAGGTACAAAGGTGTGAAATACTCTTCAGCAGACCTCTATGTAATCTTGTTTTGGGCTCTAAAAGACAAAAGTGTTTCAGCAAAACTGTGAAGTGTGTGAATTACAAACATCAAAATCCACAAAAAATGTGAAGATTACTGAATTCAAAATGAAATGGAAATATTAGAAACCCTCAGAGCTCTCGACCTGAGAAGAAAAACTTGGTGAGACTCGTAGAAAGTTTCAAGTGCCAAGCCTTCTCTTATCTGACGTTTGAGACGCTTGACAGGAACTTTTAGAAGCCGACGTCTGGAAGGAGGCGAGCGTCTCTGACTCTGAATGAACTCGGCCCGTCACACATCGGCTGACAGCTTTTGAAGCCCTGAAGGGTCTCGGTATCATTCACACAGACCTTAAACCAGACATTATGCTTGTCAGTCACCAGGATCAGCCCTTCACGGTGAAATTATTAGCGTTCGGGTTGGTTCGGCGAGTCGGCCGAGTGAAAGTAAAACAAAACGCAACCGTGAGCATCCAGGGTGACGCTCAGCCTCTCCAGACCTGAAGAAAATTATACTTGGGGACCAGGATGTGTCACTGGATTACTCTGCTTTGGCGGCTGCCTCTTCTTTAATAAATGGGCAGGCAGCACAAAGAAAGCAGTTTAATGCTGAGGAAGAAACAACCTTTAACAACCTGCATTATTTCAGCAACCAGCAGGATGAAGACCAGAGGACCAAGAAGTGTGCAACCGGTAGAAAGTCCAAAGTTTCAACTCAAGTTCATGTCAATAATCTGGATGCTTCAATTCAGGTCTACCCAAAGAAAAACAAAAAAGCACTGCTGAGCATCATGACAGGGTTGAAATCTCCCTGCACGTATATCCGTCAGTGTTACAGTATTCAAATGTGATAATAGACCAGGTACTTTCCCTGCATGCATCTCTGGTATCAGCACATGAACACACCTGCAGACAGAATCCGTCTGTAGTTTGCTTTGGCGTCGCTGTAAGTCAAAGTTATTGACATTACTTCATCTTGATGACGAGAGGAGAATCAGTCCAAGCCAAGGTTTTAAAGTAAGCATCATGACTACATCCAAAATAGATGATCCAGATGATAAAGATGCTCAAATCAGAGTCACATGATGCAGAACCGGCTCTCAGGACTGGCTCAGAGAGATCTACATTCAGCTTCTACACAAAAGATTTATTCAGAGCTTCCAAGGATCCCAATAGTTCCAGTGAAAATCATCCAAAATTGAAATTTTGTGGCTCCCTAGCCCCAAAGATTTAGTATCTGTTGTGCTCCATCAGGCACACAGATGAGGCTAATTAAGGTGCCTGTTTTTTCTAAAGTAAGAATCTCTTTAGAAGCTTTTTTTGAATGAACAGAAAACAAACATCTAATCAGCTGTTTCATGGCCGAGTTGGTTTTTTTAATCACAGGTGTGTTTGGTTTTTTGTTGTTGTTTTTTTAGGGTCTTTTTTAAGGTCTAACTCTGGTTTTGGAACCTGAATATTCTACCTGCAGTCCACCAACAGACACCAGGACACTGTAGCATGTAATCACCTCGTCCAGGTTTCTCAACATCCTGCTGGTAGCAGTTCTTCCATACTGTGCTCTTAGGGGTTAACTATGCGTAGCAATAAGCACGACTGGTTCCCAATGAATGTGCATCAGAAATCCATGCATTTTGCAGTTATTTCTGACAATCTGATAGTTAAAATGTCTGTTATGCTTGGATTAAATACCCCCAGTTAACTAAACCTTTTTAAAAAATGGCACTTTTGATTTTTCTCTGGCGCTTTCAGAGGTGCCAAAAATTCCTCTACGCAGAAAAATCCTTGTATAGTCGCTGAGATGAGACATTATGACACATCTATCCGCTGATAATCAAACTCCTCAGCACAGGGACATGAATAACCAGGTTGCTTGTGTTCCATTTACACCTCTTACAGCAGAGCTCAAGTAGAAACACTCATTAACTTAATATTAGAAGTGTGAGAAAGACACTCTTTCCTATTCATACCTTTTTTTTCTCAAATCTGAATGAAGGCGGATGGTAGGCAGGGATGGACCAGCTGTAGGGATAATCATCGGTGTGGTTCGAGACAATGCCTAAAAGAAAGAAAATACAACACAATGACAGCGACTGACGCATTTAATTATTGTGCTCATAATCAGTGATAAATATGTGCTTCTTCAACATTGATGTCTTTTGAAAATACAAACTGTAAACCTTACCTGGGTGAAACACTTTGCCCACAGACATGGTGAAGTACCCGTTAGATTTAAAGTACTGCGGCAGAGTTGTGTAGTTCCCAGAGTGGACTCTCCAGTAGGAGTTGAAGTCGTAGAGCCTGGTGGTGTCTGGTCTGCGACTGGTTAACATGGACGTCCGACTGGGACCACAAACAGCTTGCTGGGAGACGAAAACACACGTTCAAAACATATTAATGAGGTTAAAGAATCCCAGTTAGTGTCACATCCAAACTGAAGCACGATGCCAGACTGACCTGTGCAAACGCGTTGAGAAAAACTTGGCTTTTGGACGCCAGCTGGTCAATATTTGGCGATTTTACCACAGCGTCGCCGTAGCAGCCCAGTGATGTCCGTAAATCGTCCGCCATGATGAAAAGGACATTTTTCCTCTCTGAAAGCAAACACAACCCGTCATGGTTTGTGGGTTTGAGTCATGTTTTAGGCGGCTGTGGCTCCGGTGGTAGAGCGAGTCGGTCAATGATCGGAAGGTCGGTGGTTCGATTCCGCTCTGTAACCTGTGTCATGGTCGTTGTGTCCTTGGGCAAGACATTTCACCACCTTGCCTGGTGTGGATGCGTATGAATGGATTGTTTGAGGTGGTGGTCAGAGGGGCAGAATGGCAGCCACACCTCTGTGGCTCCAATTGTAGCTACCGCCACCGGGATGAGCGTGTGTGAATAAATAATTGACAGTGGAAAGCGTCTTTGAGTGTCTAGAAAAGCGCTATATAAATCTGATCAATGATTATTATTATGAAAAGCTTTCCTACATGGTTTCTATGTCTCTTGTGATTCCCCGTTTGTCTTAATCATGTCCACCTGCCTGATTCTTCTCATAATTACTTGTATTTCTAGCTTTTTTCTACGCTGTTTGCCAGCCCCGTTGCTTTTCTTGTGTCCCTTAAGCCCCTTTGTTTTTTTGCCTGGTCAGAGTTTTAGTATTTTTTTTGATTTTGTGTTCTTTTTCTCACTGAATTAGATTTATGTTTTGGACTTTGCATGTTCCCCAAATTCTCCAGATGTCTTTGCTCCCCACCTTTTGTTCAACAGTTTTTGTTTGTTTTTGCCACAACTTTCCTGTGGACTGGGAGTGTCTGCACTTTGGCCCTTACCTGAACAACACCCAGACACAACCACAGATAATTCACTTTAAAATGAACCCGTTAAACCATGAATTCAGGCGTGACTTCCAGATTGCATGTGGGGGTAAGATCATGCCAGTAAACTAAACCTCAGTGCTGCTAAACGTGCAAAAGTGCAGCAATGTGAAACTTGGAAGGAGCAGAAACTTGCGGGTTTCACTTCAGCAAAACTCCCTGGAAGTGAAACATAGAAAACAAAGCACCACACATGTTGGTAAATTAAATTACCTGCTAACTCTGCCGCAACGTAATCAAAACATTAAGCTCTCATTGACTTTAATGAGCGCTAACCTAATCACTGGTTTACCCAAACCCTTCTAATAACTTAACAAGCCAAAGATATACTACAACAACCATACTGTAATTCATTCGAGCCGGTTAAGTTTAGCTAACAGCTCAGTTTCCTCCTTTACTAACTCTACTCACCTGTTTTTACAGCAGCTCCAACCGTCAGTGTGTGAAGAGGCAGCAGGAGAAAACAAATCCGGATAAATAAATGCATTTTATCGGCGCTCAAATGACTAAAAACACAATATCCCGGAGTTATATTACATAGCACAAAATTCCACACAGTGTCTGGTGGAAGGAGAAAAAAAAAGAAAACAACGCAGCGTGTCGGCTGTTTTCATTAAATAACTTCCTGATTAGTGCGTCACCAGAATGCTGCGGTTTCATTGGTTCATTCAGCAGTAGGCCCGCCCACCAAGTGCTGAATGCATTAGTTAAATTATGTGTCAATCATTTTTAATTTTACCTGCAGCCAGGCTCATAATAATGAGCAATGTGCTGCCACACCAGGTGTAGTGTTCTATTATTTGTGATACCTGATACTTCTGCCTGAAACTTTTGTTGTATGAAGTTATTTATGTCGGCAATGTTCATCCTAATTTGGACGACAGGTGAAAACAAAAACAGAGGAACACTGCAGAAGACTTGAGTAGACAGTCAAGTCAAGTCATGTCAGCTTTATTGTCAGTTTTGTCATATGTACAACACACAGAGAACTAAAATTGCAATACTCAGAGGCCCCAAGGTGCAAAATGAACATAGAAAAGAGTATAAAAATAGAAAAAAAAATAGAATATGGTTATAAACAAGATATAAACAATAAACACAGAACGTAACGCTAACGATAAACAACAGACAATACAGATATATAGATAACTGCAAAGAAGTTTTAGTAGAGACTAAATGATGTTTTATTATGAAAGGCTTAAAAGGGACGCTTATGAAAGATGGTATGGTAGTGAGGTCTCACTCTGCGCATCATTGGCTTTCACAAATATCACAAGTAGATTTTTACCAAATTAAAGCAAGCATAAAAATTTAGCAATTTACACAATTATGTAAGTGAGCGTTTATAGTTAAGATTTTGAACTTACAGAGAGACCTTCGAATATTTTACAGTGTTGTTAAATTATGATAACAATAACTTTATTTGTACCTTTAAGAACAACAATTGACAAAGTGCTTTGACAGGTAGAACATAAAATGCAGGTGAAATATCAGGCAGGACAGGGCAAGCACAGGTAAAAACAAAAATAATAAATAAAAAGTGCATGCAAACACATGTAAATACACACTGTAAAAAATGAAAATGTACAGAATGGATAGCTCGTTAAAAACTGGTTAAAAGGTCAACATCACACAAAAGAGAAGCTGAAGAGAAAATCAGCTAGAAAAATAGATCAAGATCAGGAGGTTAGAAAGAGGGACGACAAGCAGCAAACATTTTAAAAGGGCAGAGAGTGATAAAAGAGAAATAAAAGACAAGTTTACCTGAAGGCGAGTCTATAAAAGTGGGTTTTAAGAAGTGATTGTGTGTGTTCGTCAAGTTTAATTGCATATAAGTTTTCTGTATTCAATTTAAAAAAAATATGTATACACTTATTTACAGCTCTGCTAAGTTAATAGAGACCCTATATTTTGGGGAACAATAAGGTGATCCTTGGGGGGGAAATTATAATAGGAAACTATTTAAAGGTTTGCGCATGCGCGATCCTGGTATTCGCGTTGTGGTGTTGAGTGAGACTTCCTGTCCACACAGACGATCTTCGGTTCCAGCAGCAGGAACATGGCAGAGTCGGCGGCGAAACGAAGAACTGACAGCGGTGCAACTGATGAATTATCCCTGGAAGTGAAAAGGCCGAAACCTGAGCATGAAAACGGCCGAGAAGCTAAACAGGAACCTGAACGTGAAAATGTTCTGTCTGGATTTAAAACCTCCGCCGTGTTGAGTGACTCTGCCCGAGAGAAAACCATCTTTATCCACGGAAAGGTGCCGTTTCTGCCAAGTTAGCTCACTTTACTACGTTTATAGACGATATTTAACTCATGGTGATCGTGTTTGTGGAGCTGAAGACACCGACAGAAAGATTTCTATCGTTATATTCATTCAAAGTGCTGCGAGTAGTTTGTAAAGCAAAACATTGACAATCACTTCCGGTTTGACATTTCAAAATAGTAGCACGTGATTGTGCTTTATAGCAGAGCTGTGGATATAGGTCTGGCATTGGAAAATCAGTGTTTTATTGTAAGGATTCACTGTATAGAAATGAGTGTGATATACTTGCAGAAGAATAAATGTACAGATAGTTATTTGTTCTGGGAGCTGGAGTGCTGAAGCAGCCTTTTTGTCCTCAGGTGGCTGATCAGGATGCTGTGGTGATCCTGGAGAAGACTCCCATCAGACAGGACTCCCTGGCTGAGCTGCTCAGTGGCTCCACGCTCCAGCTGGAGATGAGAAACGACATCTACAGCACGTACCGGCTGCAGGCTCCCCCTCACCTCAATGGTACGGCCCCAGAAGTATATATAATGATGTATTTAATACTCTGTAAATTCAGCTGTCATGTTGGTCACCTGATGCCTGAACTACGTTGTCTTGTTTCTAGAGGGTTCAATTTATGTTGCACACCTGAAGTGGTTCAGTGTAGTCATTCTATCTTAAATTATTATTATTTCTGCTCCACCATCTCTGATTTGCCTGTAATTTTTCAAACATAATATTAACATATTTAAAAACATATTTGTGAAATTTTAACCCGAATATCAAATACTTTCCCAGATCACTTTTTTTTTTTTTAACTTGCCCGTTGACCAACTTTCAAGCACATTTTTTCACACTTTGAAAATTGAGGTTATGTTTGAGGGACAATTTCTCACTAACTAAAGATAAAAGCCTGAATTTTTCCTGTTATTTCTCATCAAGTCTTTAATTTGAAATCTGCAATATTGGACAATTAGAGCAAATAATCTCTGATGACAGGTCAGTTGAAATATGGAGGGAAAAAAGTGAAGCTGTTATGAGAAGTCCAAACTTTGAGCTCACATTAAAAATAAAATATGATAATACAGACTTGACTAGTTATATTTTCTGAACCACATGCAGTTGGAATAATATATTCAATATAAAACAGTGTTCACAAAAATGACAAAAAACTTGCTGTGGTTGAACATTTGCATCTGATGAACCACAAAAATTAAAACTAGATGGTTCCTCGTAGAACAGGTCCAAAATGGGTCTCAAAATATGACTAAGAATTTTTTTTTTTTTTTTTAAATTAGTGTGTTTCCAGTATTGTTGATTCTGAATCAATAACATGATGAGAAAATACCGTCAAATTTTCTGTCTTTTTTTCTTTTCTTTTTCTAAGTTCCTGAGATATTGATTGTCAAACACAGCCTCAACTTTTACTGAGCAGAAAAATGTGCTGGAAGTAGGATGAAGGACAATTAAAAAAGAATAAAAAAATGTTGTACTGTGTTGCTGTGGAGGAAACTAAAGATAAAATGTGTGTTTCTGTCCTGCAGAGATTAAGACCACAGTCGTGTGTCCAGCCACAGAGAAACACGTGAAGAAATACCAGCGTCAGGAGAGCTTCCTGGTGGAGGAGACAGGAGACGACTATCAGTCCATCACTCTTCCCTACATCCAGAAACAGAGCTTCAGCGTGCAGGTCGCCGTCCTGATATGACCTCTTCTGCTACACTTAGCAGAGCACAACGTTAACTTTGGCCTTCATTTTCTGCCTTCAGTGGGTTTACAACATCCTGGAGAAGAAGGCCGAAGCCGAGCGGGTCGTTTATGAAGATCCAGATCCAAAGGTCGGCTTCGTCCTCCTGCCTGATTTCAAGTGGGACCAGAAGCAGGTGAGCGAGCAGGAACCTTTATAAAACAGCTGAATGTTTCCTTTCTGCTCAGCAAATGTCAGACTTTATGCAAGTTGTCAGGAAGCAGAGCTGCAGGATGTGTTGTCTGAGCATCAATGTGCAGAGCAGTCACGTCACTAGAAGTCTGTTTTAAATCATTAATCTACAGTCTGATAGAACCTAATTTACTCTGATTCAAGGGTTCCTGGATTATGCTGCTTTTTTTAAAAAAAAAACAACTTTATTGACAAGACACATCGTTAACATTCTGCTTCCATGTGTACAAAATGAACGAGGAACAGAAAGAGACACTGAAAAGAAACAAACAGAAATATTTCAGCTTCAGAAATGATGATGTTGACCAAAAAGAGGTTTTCTGTCTGCAGGTTTTTTGTAATTGTTGGCACCGCACAAGGCAACACAATCAAATAGACTCTCTACAACAGCAAAGCCAGATCTAAAAGCAACGCCATTGCAAAGCAACAACAAAATAATAATTTAGTTTTTCTCACTTTTTGCACCTTTTTCTTAAATATTTTTTGTTTTCTGTGCAGATGCATTCATCTACAAAATCACACAAGTCGTTCTAGAATAAGTAACTCTTTCCAAATCCAGTTATTTAGGTCATCTAGTAAAAAATCCCTGATATTATTTCA